TTCACTCATTTTCAACCTAATCTAACCTAAAGTTGCTCTTTTACCTACTTTTCGTGAATTTGCTATACTAACTGACGCTCGTATCGCACTATTTCTCACTTCCAAAATAAAATGTCACTTTTACCACTTGCATCTAAATAGCTATTTTATTCAAAGAGCCGTAAATAAAAAATTAATTATAGTGTTAGAGTCAGTAGTCAATCCAAGTAACGTGTTAAACAGCTGAACATTTTTAGATTTATAATTTAGTACCAGTTGAATAAGGAAATAATGACCTGGCAGAATTACCGCCAAAGCGACATCTACCTTTAAATTATTAAAAATAACATGCTTCTACAAAGCTGTATTTTCATTATCCATTAATTTACATTTAGGTTTAAATAAAAAAAAAATTCAGGTGATTTTCTTTGTTGCAAGTACGTACTAGGTGACAGTAAAGATATCGGCAATATTTACATAAAAAAAGTTTTTTATCGAACGAATTTTTGTTTTGCCTAGCTATTTAACCTCCTCGAGTCAAAATGATTTCAGGCAAAATTCTCGGAACGAAATTTGTTCCGACCAAAGAGGTTAGAAAGGATAGAGGTAACATAGGAAGCATATGTCGCTGCGCGAATTTTGTCAAAACCGAAAAACTGGGTGGAAGGAGTAGGGAGATATTCTGGGCCGGACTTAAATATTTGTATTGTAGTACCTAATTTTAGTAGGTAACTAAAAGATGAAAAATTATGAGACGTTTTTTTGACTTTATTTGTTAACACGATTCATTTATGATAAGGGCAATAACACTTTATCAATATATAGTTAGCTAAATGCCGATTTCACCGTTGTGTCAAACGAAGTTTAAATTACTAAACGGACATTAAAATGACATTGTTAATGTAAAAATGTAATTTTAATCTTCATTTAGTAATTTAAACTTCGTTTTTGTTAATATAAAAATGTCATTTTAACCTTCGTTTAGTATTTTAAACTTCGTTTAACAAAACGGTGAAATCGACCCTAAGTAAAAGTTTATAAAATTATTGTAACAAAATAGCTGTTGAGACAAAAAGTTATCGAAACAGCCAAAGTACTTTTTGTTCGAATTACACACAAGATTTTTTCTACGATCACACCAAAATAAAATAAATAATTAAATTTTATTAGAAATGGGTTACCTTTTCGTTCGTTATAATATTTTAAGTTTATTTAATATAAGCCTACTCTTCGAAGAGAAAAAAATGTTTTGGTACTTATATGCCGGTAATTATTTATGATTTAATTATTTACGGAAAATAATGTTCAATGATTTAAAATATTAGGAAGTCAATTAATAGCTATTTATGTAACCAGTTCATTTTGCGGAACCTCGCTCCGCTCGTTCCGCAAATATTTACTCGTTACACAAAATAAGGCATTTCGTAACGTGTTTACATATAAGATTTTTTCTAATTTTGACTTGATTATTTATAAAATTATGTTGAAGAATGATTCACAATCATTCTTTTGTAGGTACTTCCAATCAAATATTTCACAAAATTATTGTATTTGATTGCCCTACGACGTTTTTTTTTCAATAGTAATAATAAAAATAAGGGACATGTACAGTGTTGCCGATCTGATTTTTAACATTACCCGTGAGAAATTTGAAAAAAAAAGGTTTTTACCCATTATCCTTAAAGGAGTACGTCAAAATTTTACCCTCAACATTTCTGGGCAGTTTTCAATAACGGTGTTCAATTATTTAAAAAATAAAACGCAATTTACAGCTTTTCTTTTTTTTGTTTTTTTTTTTGTTGTTAAACGTAATGTCTTATTTTTAAATATGAAAAGTCATTATTCATTGCCCTTTTTTCAATTTTTGGTTTTTTTGATTTTTCGTTTTATGGATTTTTGGATTTTTCGATTTTTTATTTTTCGATTTTTAGATTTTACGATTACTCGATTTTTCGATTTCTTAATTTCTCGATTTTTCGATTTTTCGATTTTTCGATTTTTCGATTTTTCGATTTTTCGATTTTTCGATTTTTCGATTTTTCGATTTTTCGATTTTTCGATTTTTTGATTTTTCGATTTTTCGACTTAAAAACCAAAAAAGAGGCAGATTTATTTATTTTCATTTCGTAACTGGTGACATAATCAACTTTTCGTAATCAGTTGAATAATATTCTACTTTATGCAACTGCATGGTTGAATAAAGTAGATCGTCTTGACACTTGCTGCGATTACAAAATATATTACTTTATATGTCAAAATTAGAGAAAATAACAAAATGTAAATTAAATGGATATTATTATATGTCAAAATTAGAGAAAATAAAATGTAAATAAATGGATATTATTATAGATATTATTATAGAGCAGTGTTTTTCAAACTTTTTTGGGGTATACCTTTAGCTGGGTTACAAATAATTATCTGAGGTAAGTGATCTGTAACTAGGATACAGAAATGTCCATATAAATATTCATTAAATTTATTTAAGCTAAAAATTATTGCAAGGCCTCCTCTTTCAATTTGGGAATATTTTTGTTCGGACTTTGATAAGGTACGCGAAGAAGAAGCTATAGGTTTCTCAATATTTTTTTCAAAAACATGACATATCATGGCTCTTATTCCCACATTTGATGCATCTACGATCATTTGTTGTTAATTTATTTTTGATTAATTCCAAAGATTCCTTGCAAGGATTATCCCAAATCCATTTCACCCATAAAAAATAAATTAAAAAAAGTCCTCAAGCAAAATCATATTCTCCTTCCTCTTAGTGACTTAAAAAAATTACTTCTCAAAAAAAGGTCCTCAAGCCAGGTCCCTCCATTTTGTGGCGATAGTACTGTTTTTTTTTAATTATGAATATTTTCTTCGCGGAGCCCTCATAAAGGCTTTGCGAAGCCCCAGGGCTTCGCGGAGCATATTTTGAGTAGCACTGTTATAGAGAAATACTAAATAAATAGTTTTGAAAAAACTATTGAAACCAGTTGTGAAGTTTGAAACTAATAAATTGGCAATGAAATTGATATTTTTGTATTTGATTGTATGTTACTCTTTCCACTTCCTAAAAAAAGATTCCCCATGAAACAAGTAAACAGTTTATAATAATAACCTTGGAGGTGGGTGGCTCAGCGGTAGAGTCTCTGCCTGTGGATCCAAGGGTCCCAGGTTCGAATCCCACCGTTGGCCGGGATTTTTTTATTTAATTTAATTATTTAAAATTAATTCTGATGCCTTGGTAGGATTCCCCACTCAACCATTCACTGTTGGGTTCTAATTAACAGTGCTGTTCCTAAAGTGGCGCTGGGAAACATTAACAAAGCCTACACAGAACACGAGGCTAATGACCTTAGCAGTCGATGCCGATGACACCAAATTAATTATAACATGTACCAATGACCAAGTCCGATTCTGTTTATTTTCAAATCAACAAATATGGACGTCGACAGAATCTTTAAAAATTAAATATCTCACCGAAATAAATATAAGTTTCTTTTATCTCCGTAACATTTCGCACTTTTATTATAAATAAAGCTTTTTCCAACACATCTTAACATTTTCAACGTTAATTTCCAAAATTTAAGTCACTAAAATACCAAATTAATTCTCGTTGACACATTAAATTTGAATGGGCAACGGTCTGACATGTGATGTTCTCAACTGTGATTGGCGGGTGTGAATAATTTCGAAATGGGATTATGCGCAGTGTCTTATGTTCCATCTAAGGTTTGTATAATCTAAGGTTCCGACATAATTTAGGAAGGTTATTGGGGGTACACTGCAATATATAAATCGCTTCCTCAAGTACTCTTCCAACTTATCCTGGTGCATGTTGCATGAGCTGGATTACTACATTTGGTAGTATTGGTGCCAATACATTTCTTTAGGATTTCTCCTCTCATTAAACACTTTCGGTGCATTGTATCTACATATAATCGATCTATCGATCTCTTTTGTATGCTTGTTCTATACACGATACACACACTAACGGTATGTTCCTGCGCATGCAGCTGACTGACGGTGGGACGTCACGTGAGACATAGAATTATAAGCATTAAATGGGAGATAGTGTTTAAAATTCGATATTTTGCCAATTTTAGATTTTATGCAGTTACTTAAGCTTAATTGGTTATTTTATAATGATTTCGTTTACAAATATGAAGGTTCAAGGTAAATAATACTAATAAAAATATTAATTTTTCTCATAAATTATAGGTATTTTGTGACAAAATCCATAACCTGGCCATAAGATAAGTAAAAGATATAGACTAAAAATACAAGTTCGATTCAAATTTGTACTTTCTGGGCGTGGTAGTTCTCTTGCAATCTCTTTTCTTATTATGTAAAATAAAAATAAGTGTGCAGAAACAAATTATTTATTTATAAAAAGTAAGTACACAAAAACATTTTTGTCAAGTTTACTTTGAAAATACTCAAAATCAATTTTCCTGTTCATTTATCTTATTTTTATATATGTTTGTGTCCTGCTCATGCATGGCATTATTTCAAAAGGACCATTGTATTGGGACAGGAAACTAAAATGTTTAAATACAGATTTATTTTCTTTGCTTAGGCCCGTGCATCTGGTGGAATTCAGTTTCCTTTTCTTGCGTCTATGTTTAAGAGGAATCTCACAACTACTTTCCTCAAAGTGGATAGGGCAACTTCAATTAAGTTTGTCCTTTCTTCGATAAGAATTTACCCATATTTTGTGGCATTCGTAAATATCTCCACCGTGCAGTCCCGGCATTTTAAACATTAATTTAGTTCTTCCCTATAGAAAAATATAGTCACTACTAACACAAAAACAAATAAATTATTTTACATTATTCAATCGAAAGTTCGTCCCGCATTACGTCATGCGAGGTTTGAACGAATTTTGAATCGAAAGTCAGCATACTATTAGTATGTGTATCGTGGCTCTATATACAAAAATTTACTATTGACTTAGTTCATGAGGTCGACGTTTTATAGTAACATTAGCATTGTTAGGTTTAGGCCTCTTTCATCTTTCTGTCTCTTTATAATTATTCTTGGATATTCTGTCTGCCAGACTTGCTATTTTGTTTTTGAATTGTTAGTGAACATATTTTCATGTCTTCTACTACTATGCCTTCTTCCCTTGTGGCTTTATTTGTTACCATATCTGAATTTCCTTTGTATAACTGACTTAGCCGATCTTTGCATGTTATTGGTTTGTAAATTGTTGAGTCCATGCAATATCCTATTAGAAATGGGCAGGTGATTTCTTCTTGTAAGTGTATTTCGTTATCTTCTAGATTAAATGCTGCTAAGTCGTACCTGGCGAAGATTTTGATTAATGCGACTATGATATTTATCCAGACGTTACCACTTTCTTGGTATATTACGCCTTTACGTGTTTTTGTACTATCTAGTTTGCCTTCTAACGTTATTAAAGCTGTAGTGGTGCCATTCATTACAATGTTGCTTATGGTTTGGTGAAAAAGATTAAGTTTTCAATATCAGTTACATCGCCCTGCATTCTTTTGCTCTGAGTTTGTGGATGGTGGTTGATAAACCTCCGGTAACTATTATTGACATTACCAATAAATTCATTTTTATGGAAATTATGACTTTCCAAAGCGCTTATTTGAAAATGTTTGAGGTTGTCATAAAAATCCTTGTAAAAAATTGTCCTTTCTTATCTATGTTGAATTGAAAAATTAATTTTATTTAGGACATATTTAAATAGGAAAAGAAATACGAGGATGGTATTTTTTAATATACTTCTCACGATGCCAAAACGTTTAGGAATTGTTGTTTAAACTATTTTATTAACAATATGTTTTGACATTTTTTGCATTATCGGTTATTATTTCCTTATCAAACTGGTATTAAAATAAAAAATTACAAATTTTCAGTCTTGTCTTCAATTTGACCTAGCTCTTAGACTATTAAAGATATTTTGTTAATCAAATGAATTAATGAATATTACCAGCTGTATTTATGTAAATTTTAATTTAAATGTTAGTTTACTCATAAATATCACTAATAAACGTATTAAACAGATTAATAACAACATATAGATATATTTTACATGAGATTGTCTACGTCTGTGCACCCTTAGTAATTGGAGTTGCTTGTAAGGGATTATTGTAGGATATCAAGGGATTTCGGGATAATCATTCCTATTACAACGTTTGGTGAACACAGCAATTACCGTTAGCTTCCACTAATAGAAAATGGAAATCGTAAGAGAAGTGATACGGTATATAACATAATGATACGGAATAAAAAATAAAAACTATTTATTTATTATATATTGATTATATATGGTTGTTCATTGATAAAATGGGATCCAATGTAATTCCAAGATTTGTGTTAGCAACTGGTCTTTGAAGAATCGTGTTGTTAACGCCAAAGTTAGATGCTAAAGAGATGTTCACTGAGGCAAAAGACATTACAAAACATTTGTAATGGAGGAGCTAATAGGAGGATTGTTATTGAGACACGTCGTTGACTATCTGAAAGCCCTTGACTGTCCTTAAAATTTTCGACACGACAAAACAAATTTAAATTAAAGACTTATAGAAGATTGCTTACGTCATTTATGCCAGATGTTGAGTAGACGTTCATTTTAAAGTACTGCTTTCTGCCAGTAGAACAAGACTTAAAAATCCACATCGTGAAACTTTATTTAATATGATAAAAAAAAATAACATCAGGCCTGTCGAATGCATTAGAATAGTCGGTGTACATTACACCCGTCCGTTCTATTGTCGATATTTTCTACAATGTACTATGTTATAGCAACAAGATTGGCTACGTTGGAACAGCCTTTTATAAATCCATGTCGTTCTATCTATATTACTGACATGATAATAAATCTTATTTTGAAGTAACGTCTCAAATTACTAATAACGGAGATTGGATGATATTGTTCAGTATCCAATTTATCACCCTTTTTAACTTAAAGCATTTCCAGATAGATGGAATCGAACCAACGATAAACAACTTCTAATCAAATTTTGTTTATAAAAATCGAACTGCAAGCATTTACGGTGTTGTCTACGTAGTTGCCAAATTATTACGAGAGAGTCTATATACAAGGACTGTTTTTATGGTTATGATTTAAAATTTACTTAAAATAAGGCTCTACAACGCACAAAAGGTTTTCAAAATTACATTAATGTTCTTAATGTGACTTATTATGTGTTTAACCCTTAACCTGACACATCCACATTTGGTAACGTATACTGACACCTGGAGACTGAGGGACTTCTAACCACAATTTAATTGGCTATAATTGTAATTATTATAAATTAACACACATATTAGTAAAAAAAAATATTTTCTTGAAATACAAAAAAAACCAGCACTTTTAAAATTTTAAAAATAAATGATAATAATAATAATAAAAAAAAATCGCCGACATGTGACAAAGTTATGCCCATGATTACTATGAACGATTCTGAATTAAATCCAAACTAACATTAAAAAAAATAATTATACACTTCGACATGAAAAAATTTTGCCTTACTTTAGAATAAAACTTTGTAGATCACTCTATATTAAAAACCTTACACAAATATTTTCATTTACCACTTCTATTTGCTAAAAAAAAAATCCTGAATGGGCATCACATCACGTTTAGCAATTTATCGGGATGCCAACGACGCGACGCTTCGGTCGGCCGTCCTAGCCGTGGAATTATCTATTACGTAGGTCTATTGTGCCATTATTGGGAAGTTGGTTGGCTCTAATCATCCGATTTCCGACATCGTCTGATAACTACTGTAAATTGGGAAGTGTTCAACGACCAACAAACCTCAACGACAAGATGCAATAGAGCTATTTTTGGCTATATTTTGCCTCGCTTTTTATTGTTCCCAATGATATGACACATTCTCGATAAAATAAGTATTGATCCACAAAAATGTTTCTAAAGTAGGCATTGGAAAAATTAACTACCATTTTTCTTCTTTTCAAGTGTCAGTTTGGATTTAATTCAGAACCGTGCTTAGTTATCAAGGACATGACTTGTATCCCTGACTTTGGGGTCTATTCTGTAACAATTCCTTTATATTTAACAGCCTTTAAAAATATTTTCTTCTTTACTTCTGTCATTATTTAAACGGATCTTTAAAATACATTAGAGGACTATCTTAAAGAAATCTGTTTAAATAATGACAGAAGTAAATTAACGAATACGAACATATTTTTATAGGCCGCCAATATTTTTAAAGGCCGTTAACTATAAAGGAATTGTTACAGAATAGACCCCTTTGTCGGTTATGATATTTAGAAACATTTTTTGAACAATTAATAAATTATTGAAAATGTAAAATGCTTTAGGCCCTTTCTCTCTTTGACTTTAAACAATCTTATGAGCAGAGCGAGTTAGATAATTTCAAATTTTCAATATTTGAGCTTAATTTATTTAAGGTTTCTTTTAAAAATAACAAAGCCAATGTGCTGGAGGTATTATTTTCTAGATGTGATGTAATTGTTGTCTCGAATCAACTGACTAAAGAAGTTAATTTATACAATATAGAGAATTGGACTAAAGAGTTTGATGGTATTTTTACATGTACACGACTGGGTCACAAGAAAAAAGAAGTTTGTAATTTTTTAACCGATGTTATCTTTGACGTCCTATTTATTGGACAGACAGTTCTCCTTGCGCCAAAAAGGCCATAATTGTGATTGCGTGTTCATTTACTTTTTGTTAAAACTTTGTTGAAATACACAAATTTACTAATATCTATGCATTCCTTCTTTCATGCAGATTTGGCGAAAGCGTTTTAAAATAAATATTTAAATGCATCGCGTGTTTAATAAAATAAACGACGATGTGTGTCTGATATTAGTGTGGAAGCACGCAATACGACTTAGACAATGTTGTCGAGAGTCGAGCTAATTATCAATTTCAAAGCAACATAATTCCACATGCAGTGGCACCACTTGTCTTTCATTTAGTGCAAGGATTAGTACTGTGTGTGGATTTAATTTTTGTCCCGAATAATTTTATTACTAAATAAACAATAAAATCACCAAGAAAACTTTGATAAAGTATATTTAATGCATACAGATAAACCATATTCAAACGCCGCAACACAAAACGATTATCTATGTCGTTAAATTAAACATTTACTATTCAAAGTTCTACAAATATTTTAGTTGCATCTAATCTCTGGAATAGATCGGAAACAACAATAATAAGTCCAGGACAATTGCATATTGTACCGAAGTTAAAGACTAATCATATAAGTGATACTGTAAAAGGAGTAATTAGAAACGTACTTTATGATATAAAAGCAAGAGGACAAGACAAACATATACACAACGATTCTGATACAAGTTTATGGCGTCTTATAAAAGAATGTATATTCATACAAAATTGAAAATAATAGGCGACTTTAGGGGTGGGTTAACTCAGTGGTTAGAGTCATGACATTGAGATCGAAGTGGCTCAGGTTCGAATCCCGCTGGAGACAAGATTTTTATATAATTTAATAATTCTAATTTATAGCTAGGTTTTCACACTCGACGATGCACTGCTGGGATCTAATAAACAGTGCTATTCCTAAAATGGTGTTGGGAAACAATAATAATGCTAATAACCGATGCAGTTGATGCCGACGACAACAAAAAAAATAAGTGAAACCAAATGTTGGTTTTAAACATTATATAAAAGTACAAATCCACTTAAGTTTGTTTTCCTGGACAAAACTTTTGAAAGGGTCATATAAACGCATATGGACAAAAAAATGCTAGAACAAAATTAGAGGTTGCACTGGTTGCAGACAACATGATTTTATAAGTAACGAATTTTTAAAAATGGCTTGGTGAAAGTTAATACCAATTGTCGTTTTTAACATTAACAGAAAATAATAAACATACTAAGTAAAAAATATTTACCGCACAGAACCTAAGAAAAAAAGTGCAGGTAGCGGATGTTTCTTTGTTGAAAACCTCCTAAATAAGGTTTGTTCCAACTTTAATCTTGGAACCATACAAAAACCAGTCCACAACTTATTGTCAATAACCTCTCCAGCATTGGGACTCAAGTCGGAAGTTAAAAGTGTTGGAACCCGTTTTTGTGTTGTTAAATACACATTGTTAATACCGTCAAAGTCAAACAAATTGTGGTTTATTCACAAGCTCACTAGATAATTCGTTCCTATTCAGACCCAGGAACTGATTTTACAGTCCAGAAACTGATTTGACAGTACAGAAACTAGATTGTGATTAGATTTAGTTTTGTTGGAACACTGGATTTTTATACAATTTTGAGTCCAAAGTTTGTTCTAGACTGTACAGATTATCGACAGTGTCTAAATATATTTAAATAAATACTCACACGGATAATAGCTATTCTACGCACAGACTACAAAACGAAAAAGTATGCTATTGCTTTCAACTAAATGAATATATTTTATATCTATTCTACCCAGTAAGAACACTGCACAAATAT